CCCCCCCCCCCCTCCATTTTCCAACATAGCTGTTTGTGGAATAAGACAAAAACATTTTCTTTCTTAATTTTTGAAGTGAACTTTTTATCTTAAAAGGACATTTTAGGAGAGCAAACACTCCTCGAAGTAACTCCGGTCATGATAAAGTTGTTTTCTACTGAGGCTGACAGAATAAAATAGTCATTAAGAGTATTTTGTATATTGAGATTACCTCCTCCAGCCTGTCCACAGTTTGGGAATAGTCTAGTGAGACAAAGAATCCAAATTATATTTAGATTTAAAGTTGAGTATCAGTCACCAAGCCCTTTGCCAAGAAGACCACAAGTGGTTCAACCACTGTGCCAGGAAATTCCAGTGGCTGAAAGAACATTTCTTAGTATCAGAAATATCCATTTGCTTGTTTTGGCTGGTGGTGTGTCATATGAACGAGAAGGCTGCACTGGTTGCTCGGGTTATGTTTTTCTTTTGATATTGGTGAATTCAATTACAGCCTTTAAAGTTGTGGAGTAAATTCCGTTCATGCTTTGTGATGATATTTTTGAGTGCTTTACAATGAGGGAGTCATTCAGTCAGGTTGTTTTTGACTGATGTGTCCCTCGGTGGTCAAGACTGAAGGTTCTGTTCAATGATTAGCAGAAAGAGGAATCGCTCCAGAGGTCTTTGGCTTGTCACTTTGTCCCCAACAAATCATCCACTTACACTCTTTATTTGGACAGACAACTTAATGAGAAAAACAGAGAACCAAATCAGGGGGTGCTGTTTAGGTATTTGCACTAGGTTTCAATTTTTCCTGTCGGATAGAGACAGATTCAGGGGAAGGAAATGCTATCGTGGTCTTCTTATTGTGGAAAAGACAAGAATTATCACCAGATATGACCGTTTCTGGACTTCCTCCCATGCCTTTAAGCAAACAACGTTTAATTTAGAATTAGTATCTCTGGCTTTTCCCCAGGCTTTGTGATATAGGCAGTGTATTCTTTGGCGTTCGTTTGTCTTTTCTTTATTAAATCAACTGTTAAGTGGAGTTCAAATATTGGTTTCTAAGTCATATTAATGCATGGTTGCTTTACCTGGAATTCCAGAGCGATTTTTTTTTCTCTCTCAAAATTATACATTAAAAAAAAAAAATCATGAATGACTAGACTTCAAAGATCAGTGAGAAAATGATTTAGTTTTTTGCCAGCAATTTAATTATCTGCTAACTAATTTGAAACCTCAGCTTATTACTTGTTTCTTTCTGCTTCTTGGTTTGGTGGTGTGGCTTCCTTGTATTGGGTTTTATTTCTTGCATAAGTGTTTTATTAAAAGTCAAAGTGTTTATTTGGGATCTGATTAATGATGGCTATTGAACAGTTTGTTTTCAAGGGCCTGCTTCATTTCATACTTATGAAAATGAACAGTGAAGTATTTATTATTTGTAAATGTTTTCATGTATTATGAATGCTACATGTAGTTTCCAAACTGCACAGCAAGTAGACAGTAAAGACATTTTAATGTTACAAACTAATGGCTGCTGAAATTTCAGCTTTGCCACCACAGGAATAAATTACACTTTAAAAAATAAAAAAATAGAAAACAGCTATTTTAATTTGTAACAATATTTCTTTTTTTTTCTATATTTTAGTAAATATAAACAGGTGTGCCTATAGTTAGCTAAAAACAATAAAAGTCCTCCGAGCATTATTAATGTCCCCAGACGTCAGAACATAACACACATTGGTATTTCCCCCTTTGCTTAGCTTTGCCATATTTAAATGCAACATCTGCTTTGGAGCAGAACATGAGTTCAGAGAAAGAAAACCGCTGATGTTGGATTGACTGGATCGCATGAGGGCAGGAGGCCTGCAAATAATTCCCTCCTCAGGGGAAAACAAAACAAAACAACACGTCAGGTTAATAGATGTTTAGATAGGCTTTAAACATATTTCCAGCTGCCATTAGACTCCACTTAGACATGACTGTGCTGTGAGTGAAGAGTTAAACAGAGCTAGAGTGAACATTTTTCTGGAGATTATAAAGTATGTTACATAATTTAATATTTCTACATTTTCTGGTGTTTTGTGTATTTTGTGTAACTAAATTATTATAATTTTTATTAGTGCATTGGTGTTATGGACTTTCTGGATCAGCCGTACTGCAATAATTCAGACAGGAACCCAACAGGAACATGCACTTTCTTCATACTGTCTCTCTTCTGGGTCATTCCTGGGTTTGCCATGTGGGTCAAAATTTGTAATGATCACTGGCTGTGGTTTCTATACACGTTACAAGCTTCCAAGAGTCAGCTAGATCCAAATCGGCACTGCAAAGCAAAGGGGCTTTACTAAACCAGCTCGAAAGTACCCCCTCTGAAAGAAACCTCCTGTTTCTGCACATTTTTCACACCATCTGCCTATGAAATATTTCTAAGCTTGGGCCAAATGTCTAGAAGCATTATGACTGGCACAAACTGAATAATTTAGGCTAGTACCTTGTAACATATGAAGAAAGCTGACAAAAATGAACACAAAGGTTAAAATTTAAACATTTATTCATGATGCTTCTGTTCAGCCGGTTCACACTGTGATTTATTTTTCTAATTCAGTTCACTCCTGCAAAGTTTGAGAACGACTCATTCATCATGTAGCGGATTCCTATATGGGATATGATTTATTGCATTTTTCATAGATGAAATGTGAATTGTTTTTACGCTGTTAGATCTCAAGCTGACTTCCTGTGTGCACAGCACAATCTGGCGCCTGTCATTTGTTTGCACTGCAGATGCCTCAGTGATTTTAGATGTGATGTGGTCTGACAAGTGTGTGTGTGTGTGTGTGTGTGTGTGTGTTTGCGTTTGTCAGTGTATAGACGAAGACCCAAGATATTCTGAGGACACAAGGCCATAACCAGAGTGAGAAGCTTGACCCATCTAAAAAAAAAAACAGTGCACCATGAAGAGAAACTGACTGCTTTATATGGTAAATCTCAATGCATTTATTTCTAGGCTAACTCTATTTGTTTTATAGTTGCTATGCATTTTGTTTTGTTTTGTTTTGTTATGTTGTGCGTTGTTGTTTTGTTTTGGGACTATTTCAACAACTGGTAAAGGTATGCTTATTACAATCTAGAGAATAACTGTGTATTAATTCCACATTTTAATTACGTTTTAGAACTGACACCAAATAATTCTTAAAGGAATAGTTCACTCAGTTATAATTATGCAATCATTGATATTTCCTGTATGACTTTCTTTCTTTTATGGAATACAAAAGAGGTATTCCAAAGATATTCCAATTTTCTGTGAAAAACAAAGTTAAACACAACGCCATCATATGATACCAGAAAACTTAGAATATAGCAAATTATTCTTTATTGTCCTTTTTTGAGCTTGAATGCCTCTGGTGAGCAAATGATGACAGAATATTCATTTTTTAGGTGAACTGTGCTTTTAAAGGTTCATTTTTGTAGGACCAAATTGTAAATGTTATGATAATGTGTAATTGTCATTTAAGCACATGTAAATCACTGAGTTTGCATACTTAAACAGTATGTGTACAGCAATGATGTCAGACAGAGAACAAAAGCGAGCAAGAAGTCAGCAGGAGGTTCTGTAGTGGATGGGATATAAAAGAGGAGCGGGGGAACACAGGAAGTGTGGTAAGATCCGGCGGGCGCACATGCTTTCTGTGGCGCCTGCAATGCATTGCGGAAGCACATGTAAATCACTGAGTTTGCATACTTAAACAGTATGTGTACAGCAATGATGTCAGACAGAGAACAAAAGCGAGCAAGAAGTCAGCAGGAGGTTCTGTAGTGGATGGGATATAAAAGAGGAGCGGGGGGACACAGGAAGTGTGGTAAGATCCGGCGGGCGCACATGCTTTCTGTGGCGCCTGCAATGCATTGCGAATTGAGATAAGAACCAGGCGCAGAACTGTCATACTGTCATAGGGAGGATATGCTTGTTTGGGATTAAAAATACATAACCTCCTGAAACTCTTGCCCTCATACTGTATGTGAGGGTGTGGCTGTATTTGTTGGCCCATGGAAATATGAATCTTCCTTGGGAGTTCACAGTTAGAAGGGAAAAGAGTCAGAGAGGAAATATACTATAGACACAAACAAAACAGGAAAGGAAAATGCTGCAGATGTATTCAGATGGACGTCATTAGGGAAGAGTATTGTATCATGTCCTTTATTCAGATACAAAAGAGTCTGACTACTGGCTACACTCCATTAGGTGGAGATTTGTAAAGGAAATGGGCCCCACTAGCTCTTGGCAATGCTGACCTTTCGACCTCACAATAGGAGCAGGGGTGGGCTGTCAACTTGTTTTTACTGAATAGTTATATATAGTGTGTCTATACTGCAGGGGTGTGGACTCGAGTCACATGACTCGAGACTTGACTCGGACTCGAGTCCCAAATTTGATGACTTGCGACTCGACTCGACATAATTAAAGAAGACTTGAGACTCGATTTAGACTTTGACAGCAATGACTCGAGACTTGACTTGGACTTGAGCCCTGTGACTCGGAAAGACTTTATGATCAGATCAGAGTCGTTATTACTCTGGACGCGTCCCTGCGTGCTTGCGCTTGACTGGCAAAAAGCCAGAGACTGCGTTCAGGGAGCGCTGGATAGCCTATACATTATATGCTAGTATAAATTAATGGAGTAATAGCATAATTTACAACAAAATAAGAAAAAAATGACATGATTCGTCTAGTAGCTATCTCCGCTCGTGAAAAGCGCTGCCCTGCCCGTTTGATCGCCGCCCAGCAGACACACGGAGCGGGCATGAGAAACGAGAGGCGCGGCCGCGATCACTGGTGCTCGCCTCATCATCACCGTGACCGCTTCTTTGTTTGTCCGACACCGAGGTGCACCATGAGTGACGGATCCGCATCCCGCCACGACCCTCGCACTCTGCCAACTCGATGTGCTTTCATTTTCATTTTTATTTGTAATAAACACCTCTCTGAGACCTGTTTTTGTCAGATC